AATGGATTCTACTATGGAAGTATAAAGCATTAGTAGGTTTTTGGGTGAGAGAATATCTCATAAAGTGTAAAATCTGTGCAGTAATGCTCTCAGTCGTTTATTTAAATTCGAGATGTGCTCGGTCCAGCGAATGTGCTGATTCAGAGTCACTCCTAGGTATTTTATTGATGATTCTCGATCTATTTCTGGGCAGGTACATAGTGCCCGTGCGAGTTGTTTTGTGAAGGTTTATAGAATAATCTGTAGTGGGTTGTGTATTATCCGTATGTGTAAAAGGTATATCTCAAAATATTTTCCGCTAGTAGTTTTTCAGTCATTGAAAATCCTGTATGTCTACTGATGTATTCAAAATGTTATAAACAGATTGTTTCATTGCCATAAAGTATTAGGTAAATATTTCAAAGTGGAATTTTTTTTTTAATTGAAGGGGTTATATTTTTAGAAGTGATTAATTTTTGGAAAGAAAGTTTTTGGCTTTCTACTACTCCATCTTGATACAAAAAATGATGTAGGAATCTTCCAAAGAGAGGAAGGAAGTAATCAATTCGAAAATAAGTAACTCTATACATACAAGTACTCTATACATGCAAAGAAGTAACTTTCAGACACAAACTGGAATAAAGTCCTCCTGAAACATCTATTTTCATATGAGCATTGAATTACACGAAAGAAAAACTTTCTTTCAAAACAAATACTTTTATATGAACACTGAATTATACAGAAGATACATTTCTCTACTCAGTTTGTGTTCCAAACATTCTTCATGGAATAAAATCACATGAGTTCTACTTGAAATGAAGTGCAATACATTGTACCGCAAACACATGTTATATGAGACTCCGCTATAAGCTAAGGAAATGAATATTCATAGTTTGAACAATATCACAATAATAGTAATCAAGCATCGCTATCTTCAAAGTCCATGATCAAAACCAACATCTGAAGAATCTGGAACAATAAATCATCAATACTCACCCACCAAATCATATATTTTAAATTCTGTCGCGGTTCCTATTTGATCTCCCTTGTAACACATTTCCATATACCCAAGCTTTGATAAAGTAGAGGCTTGCTTCGTTATCCAAATGGCACGAGTTCTTAGCATGTGTCAGATATTGAGTCTTGCAGCGCAATTGGCTCAGCGTTGGATTGATATAATACGTAGATGTGGGTTCAACGCGCAGTGCGTTTATTTGTCAAATGGTTATTCGCATAGCAAAGTTTTGTAAGAGGTATAGACATTTAGAAGTAGTGATGTGAGTTTGACGAGATGTGTGTAATGATGTATATATATCCACTTTGAATGCATATTTTTCATGATGTTATTATGACGTTGTTCACCAGACTCAAAATTTCCATCATATCTTGTACGTACTTTCGAGTTTTTTGGCTTCTTATGTATTTGTCGGGATCCTTACACTAGAGGTCAATTTTTTGAAACAATCACATTTACTTCAACATAGCATAACTAGTATGCGAGAGGGCATGGGAATTGCCAAGCATTTTTCCAGTGGTTGTATCCAGATTGCATTTTTTAAGGCTCAAGTAGTTTCTCTTTGCAACTACTTACACCTAATTGCTTGGAGATTTCGGATTGTTGGTCAAAAATAACACTGAGACTCAGAAGGAATGAATTCATTGCCAATGCATATATGGAACCCATCAAGGAGGCTTCTTAAGTTGAAGGATGATCCAATAGGAATAGGTTGGCTTTTTGCAGGTTTCAGGAGTAGGAAGTTTTCCTCGGTACACCGAGGAAATTGTAAGTTCGTTGTTTATGTTTATCAGTGTATCACATTTCTGATAAGGTTGAAAGTTTGCAAGTCAGATGTAAAAAAAACAAAACTGATGAGGTACGCCATTATTGCCGAATCGAGTTTCCAAAGCGAGTGGTCATTTACCTTTGGGACACCCTCTATAAACGCCCGGGATTTTGTCACATGTTCAAAACTGACTCCATCCGAATGTATCTTTCCTGTGCCGGCCCAAGCTTTGGGAATTATTCATGACCATATTCATTTCGAAATTTAGTCTTCAACAATAGGTTTTGCGCCGAATTCAAGGACATCCACACCTGTGCGGTCTCGATCGTCAAGTCGCAGAATGCCCTGACAATACGTTCGATGGTCGGGAGAACAAATCCCAAAGTGGACCACCGGTAAAGGACAACCATTTGGAAGAGTAGGGCAATGAATCTTGAAGACGAGTTTGGAATTATTCAGAAGATTGAATGGGTCAACGAGGTCGTTTTAGAAGGTGCGGTCAGCGTTGGTGGTGATGATTTGTGGTGAGCGAGGAGGAGTGTATACTATACTTTTGCTATGGCTATGACTGATTTGTGGGACGTCAAGTAGCCGAAAATGAAATAGATGGATTGACAGAGAAGAATTCGTTCTTTCAAAAATAATCTGAAATATATCGCTGTATACTTTGACCTATGTAAGGCATTCAACATAGCATGGCATCATAAAATTATCAAAACTTTAGTATCCCGGGGATATCAGGGCAATATTTTGGCTTTTATTTAAAATTTTCTTTCTCAGAGATATTTCCGAGTCAAAGTGGATGGTGTGTTATCATCACCAAGATACGTAGAGAATGGGATACCGCGGGGCTCTGTAATCAGCCCCACTTTATTCCTTGTGGCCATTAATGATGTGCTACAAAATCTGCAGAAACCAGAAACTGATGATTTAATAATATTTGTGAAGGGAAAAAATATTCATAATATGGTCAATATTCTGCAAGGGGAGTTAAATAAGTTAGAAAACTGGTCAAGGAAAAGCGGTTTTCAATTTTCTTCCAATAAAACTAAATGTATTATCTTCACGAAAAGACCGAATAAAATCCAGAATCCACCAAACTTAACTTTCAAGAATGAAACACTAGGAGATACAAATGAAATAAAATATTTGGGATTGACATTTGACCAGTCACTGTCATGGAAAACCTATATTGAATATCTTGTCACAGTGTGTCAAAAAATGCTAAACCTGTTGAAATGCTTGACAAATAAACAGTGGGGCGCAGATGGTAGGAGATTATTGACTTTATATAGAACTTTAATAAGGTCAAAATTAGACTACGGCTGCATATGCTATTCGTCTGCTTCCGCGACCACCCTCACAGCTCTGGATACAGTATATAACAACGCACTTAGAATCATCTCTGGAGCATTTATTACAAGCCCGGTTGACAGCCTACTCTGTGAACTTGGAGAATTACCTTTTAAGACATATGCAGCCAGGCGACAAGACCATCAAACTCAACAACCCTTCATCGTCCCAGTCACTCCCACTACAAAAGCAAATATTCCATTTCATGAACGGAAAATGCTTTCCCTCAACCTCATACAGATGCAAAAATTTTCACAAATCCAATCCAAACTTTCAAAAAAAACTCCTCCATGGCGTGTTTCCTTACCGAATACAAATACTCAGCTACTATCCATGAGCAAAGCAACCACAAATCCCCAGCTGATCCAAACTGATTACCAAACTGTAATATCTGATTACCCACTTCACCAGAAAATCTTCACTGATGCCTCAAAAACAACTCGTGGTGTACGATGTGCATTCGTAACGAACGAGACCGCCTGTAAATTTTCTTTACATGAATCTGCTACTATTCTCACTGGAAAACTTTATGCCATCTATAAAGCTCTTTTCTTCATTAAAATGACACCTGGTAAAGAGTTTTTGATAATTACGGACTATCTCAACTCCCTTATTTTTTTTTTTTGAAAATATATACCCATCACGTACTGGTAAATATGAATAAAGAGGAGATGAAACAACTAGATAAGAGGACAGTAACCCTCCTATGGGTTCCTTCACATACTGGGATTTCTGGAAACGATAAATTTGCCAGAGAAGCTGTAGAACATCCAGCATATAATATCAGTATGAGAGCATTGCCGATAGATCCTGAATCCTATTTCCATACAAAATTGTAGAAATGTGGAATCACCAATGGTCTCAAAAACCTTCCAAATTTAACGAAATCAAGGCCTTGGAACAACAAAACAACAAACCGCTTTCATCAAGTCATAATTACCAGATTGAGACTGGGCCACACTCGCCTTACGCATGAACATCTATTGAGGAAAAAACCGCCACCAAAATGTTTCGCGTGTGAAGTGCTAGTGACTGTTAAGCATGTTCTGGTAGAGTGCCTGCTCTTCACAGTTAAGAGACTGAACAATAAAATTCCCTCCAAACTAAGTGAAATTTTCCAAAATACCAATACCAACAATATTGTTGAATTTTTCAAAGTCTGGTGGACTGGTGTAAGTTTGACGATAGTCGTATCACCAAGTGTTCTGGCGATGTCTTGAATTTATTGGAGTTTTTGAAGACACCCTACATTTTGTTTTATGAAAGGGAGGACATCGGCAGATCTAGATCTTCAGATGATGTGGTGCTTCAGGTTTTTCCGGGTTTTCCTGCAGCTGAAACAGCCAATGCGCCACTGGAATCAATGAAGTCACCCCGGAGTGCCAGTTTTTTTCATAATTCCATTATTTGTATAACTTTCTTCTTTAATATACTATGTTGAAGAGTAAATGAACATTTTGTTTGCCATATTGTCAGAAAATCATAGTTCATTACCTCATTTCATATTTTTCAAGTTGGTATAAATGTTTTTTTCTACAAAATAGTTGGCAGTTCTCTCAGAAACTATTTTATATCGAGATGAATATCCAAATGAAATAATGAAACTGTAATGATCAACTTACCTTAGTTCTCATCTACTCCATGAAATTTCTTCTTCTGGAAGATCTCCCTTCATTGCCACTGGAGAAGATTGAAATCACCAATAAAAACTTCTCTCAAGTCTTCAACGCATTTCCACTCCAGCAACTCAACTTTTTTCACTACCAATCAAAATTCTTCGAATTCCCATACTGTTTCTTTTCAGCATAAACACAGTTTGCTCAATGAAATGTGAATTTTTCATGTGAGTTGTCACTTTAGAATTTCAGAAATGAAACAAGCTGATAAATAATGAACGATTCACTTTATTGCAGAGTCAACAGACGACTCAGTAGGGTGGAAATATTTAAATAGATATGTCTGACGAAAACAAACGTGTCTGTCTGTATCTGTTGCAACTCCAGTACAATGAACGCTAAATCCTCGAATATGTAAATTTTCCGTGTATATCATTAATCTTATTACATTTTATTACACAGTATAATAACAAATATGTTACTTACAGCTCTACACTAAGTACATACATAGATACAAATTTTATACTGCTGCACGGTTACAGTCTGGAGATATTTACAATGCAGAAACGTCCTGGCGTCGAAAACTAAGGAACGAAAGGTCATATATCACATTTACTGTACAACATACTACTATTGTCCACATTGCTTTTGCACATCAGTAGAGGTAGATCAGGGCCACAAAGAGGCCATCGCCAGAGACGGTCAAGCCTTGTTTAGGGCCACAGGCTTGATAGGGGTCTCCGACCCAGACGACAAGGAAGAAGTGGAGCTGGGCGACATCCTCGAAGAGGTCGTCAGCCCCAGCGGAAGCCCCATCGCGCTACTGGAGCTCGTCGCAGCAGCCAAGCTCGCTTTGGTAAACACTGAATTGATAGTACTTGGTGACGAATGCGCAATGCTAGCGTTCTGAGCCGCTATGAGGTTAGCGCCTATGGTTCTTTGGTAGGACTCCAGCAACGAGTCAGGGGAACCCCCACTGGCGGCTACGAGATGCTGAGCAGCCGCGGCTGGACTGTATAGGCTCCTGTAGAAGTCGTGGGGCCTAGCGTAAGGCGCTGTATGCAGCCCAGGAGGAGGCAGTCGAGCCCCTAGAGGGGGCACCAGTCTACCTGCTGCTGTGGAGTACAGGGAGGAGGCAGTAGTGTGTGGAGGACCATCGCTTTCCTTGCTGGCCATATCTGCCAGCGACCAGATCCTAGGCTTGGTGGTGACCGAAGCGGAGAGGTGAGGGGGTGATCCTGATGACCTCGGAGGAAGAAAGGCAGGGTGTGGTGGTCTGTCATAGATCTCTGGACTATCTGGTCCGCTGTCGTGACGAGATTCGCTCCATTCGCTGGCGGTGTCTGCGGCCAAGCGGGAGTGGGGCGGTCGGTCGCCGTCTTCACTGGAGGCGGTGCCAGAATCTTTGGAATCTGCAACAAAGTGATTGGTGAGCTTCAGTCCACTCAGTGAGAAGAGATTACGAGTAGTTGAACGAAAATTATTGAAGTAATCAAATTTTGAGTGAAAACGAAGGAAGAGGATACGAGGTTTTGCTCTGATTCATGGAAGGAGAGATTATTTTTGAGAAAGAATTTTTGAGAGTTCACATACATTTCAATCCAGTATGAAGTGGATGGGTAATTTTTTTGTTGTTCGTATTATACAGGGTGTTCCTTAAACACATGCTAATATTTAAGGAGGTAATTCTTAGACCCATTTCAAGGAAAAAACGCCCTATGGACGTATGTCCTAAACGCCTAAACTTTTGAGATACAGGGTGGCAAAGTTTTCAAAAATAATCAGTTTTTTAATAATAACTGAGATAATTTTTTGTTTTTGTGAAAAATCTATTTTTTTTGCAGATTATGTTTTCAAATATTATTAGGGAATTGGTAATGCGTTATGAAGCAATTTTCAGATTCTCATTCATTTTAGAATTGATCTAATTTCTTAATTTGCTTTCTGTCGATTTTGAGTGAAAATCATGCGTCGGAGATCAAATTTAAAAATGATTTTATTTTGAAAAGAAAGCATTGGCGTAGTACTGTTTGAAAAAATACAAATTTGTGTACATCAGAAAATGCGCCTTGAGGCATGGAACATATGTACCAAATATGCCAAAGATCTCTACAAAATTTTCTCAGTTATTTTTAAAAAACTGATTATTTTTGGAAAATTTGCCACCCTGTATCTCAAAAGTTAAGGCGTTTAGGACATACGTCCATAGGAAGTTGTTTTCTTAGAATGAGTCTAAGAATTACCTCCTTAAATATTAGCATGCGTTTAAGAAACACCCTGTATATCAAATTATATATGTCAAATAGTTCTCAATTTCAAGGGAATTGAAAAAAAATAATTTGCAGTATCAAAATATCAAAGAATTCGTAACCTCGATAATTTTTCATTTCAGCAAAATACTGATTCAGTATCAAACTTGCAGTTACTGATAATCTGATGATTGACAGTTGTAGATTCTGCAGAACATTTTTATTCATATATCTTTCCGCAGTGTTTCTTTCCGTATCAGTTGAATGATTGAAAATACGCTTATATAATTTTCAATTTTTACGAGTTTCATCCTATAATTGATCATCATGAGGAGAAATATTCGAATTCGAAGAAGTAAACATTCATAGCCTCGAAACTGTTTGTCATGATTTGATTTTGAAGACAGTTTTTTCATTTTTCATTCACATAATATGTTATCAGACCACCAAGAGAGTTTTATATCACAAGGAAAAAACTGTGCAAGATCATTTGTTATCACTTAAAAATACGATAATTACTCTCATTATATGACTTACAAGATAATTTTGTTGGTCAGTTCCACAACAACCAAACAGCATTATTTTGTTGTGAATTCCTCTGATCACGAAAAAATTTTCCATAATCGACATTGAATTTCTCATTTCCATAAATTCATTTTCGAAAAATTCATTGATGAATTATCCTCCTCATATTTTTGGCGCCGCAACTGTGGCCTTTTGACTGACTGAACAATTTTCTAACATCTCTGAGGTTATTTGTTGAAATAGTTTACTTAAGATCAATCCACCTCCAACAAAAACCTCTATAAATGGTTTCAAGAACCCGTGGGTTGGGTTACCTATCGGGCGCGTCCTCTGGTGGCGGATAGGGAAACGGCCAGAGGACTGGAGGCCCTGTCCGGGAAGCCAATGTGGTCTTACGATCGGGGTGAGGAGAACTAAAACTAGCCAAAAGTCTTTACAAAACATGCCACCGTAGACCAGCCTACCCAAGCTAAGGTGTAACGAATCGTGCCGACAGCTAAATGGCCGCAGGGTGGTATGCGGTTAAGAACGATCCCATTGGGGAACTGGGTGAAACCTCATGGTAATCAGCCTACCTCTGGTAATGCGGGGCTCTGCCAAAGGTGACCAACTTGCTACTTCCCTTGCACCCTCCCTACTCTACAGATACAGATGGTTTCAAGAATTTTCAAATTCAAAATTTTGCTAGATCTCATCCATGACTAGTCAAAGTTACCTCTGCTATGATCTCTGATCGCATCAGTTGTCATTACCATACAGAATAGCCAAAGTTTTCGTTGAGAGTAACAATATAACTCATGTCGATTCACTCACCTAGTATATCTTTTCCATCAGTACTCTTATGGTCTTGGTCATCATCATCATTGTTATTGTCGTCATCTTCCACTCGATTTCTTGGTTCCCACGTCATTTTGTTCTCCTTCTTGAGTCTTCGCCTAGCATTAGCGAACCAAGTGGATACTTGAGTCAGAGTCATCTTCGTAATGATCGCCAACATGATCTTTTCTCCTTTGGTCGGATAGGGGTTCTTCTTGTGCTCATTAAGCCAAGCTTTCAAAGTACTGGTCGTTTCACGAGTAGCGTTTTTTCTTCGAGCGCCATTGAGATCCATTCCATATCTGAAACAAAGAGAAATATTTAGAGAAACCATTTTTTGTGTGATAATAACAATATATTTTTCGATTGGTTGTTGTGATGGTCGTCGGTTGGCTTAGCTCGCTGGAGTTTCAACTTTAGAGGGCTGTTGGAGAGAAGCCACAATGCTTGATGGAAATTTAAGTTATTTTCGATGTATGTCAATGAAATCGGACCTTTGATGAATCGAAGTAACGTGCCTTTTGCCTATGTAAGGGGATCAATTGGGTAGCTTGACTTCTCTGGAAAGTTCCTGCATTCTCTTTCACAGTAGGGAGAAGGATTCAGATCTTGAGATCATTCCTAACGCAGGTTTTTCGTTGAGAACAACTCAAGCACTTCAACCATCTCCTCGTCACTTTTTACTGCTACCGCAGTAGTACTGCTACCGCAGTAGTAGATGTTACTTCAGGCATACAAACCTGCAGACCAGCAGGCCAAAAATAACTAAAAATAGATCAGTCACAGTCATCTCTGGCCTTACAAGTTCACATTCTTTGATTTGTATATTACCAGTTTCTGAACATTTTCAGTTGATTCTCCTATAGAAATTTCAAAATGCAATAAAGGTGACAAGAATACTCTTGGTGGGTTGGAGAGTTATCAACGTAGCCTACTAAGAACATTCTAATAACCTCAGGAGTCATCAGCAATGACACCAAAAAAGAAATATTTTCAAACTGAGCCACACAAAAAATATCTCTCTTATTCCTATCGAAATCTGATATGAAATCCAATAAAAAATTCATCCCTCAACGTCAATAACTTCCCAGAACCAGATGCGTTGTACATACACCTTGGGAGAGAGGAGTCGAAATTAAAATGTGCTGTCAAGGCGTATCACAGAAGATACACGGCGCATTTGATTATTTTTTGTGCGGAACAAGAGACAGACAAGGCTCGAAAAGGGGAGGTTTATAGATGGGAAATTAATAAAGCTGTCAGTTATCAGCGAAGCGGAGCATCCATGCGGAACGTTTCAATCTGATGAGCTTGCGACCGTGCTGTTTTGCGAGGGCAAATGGCGCTTCTATGATAGCACGGTCAAAGAAAATTATTGTTGAACTTTGCCAGAAGAAAATGATTTTGATATTGACTCTATACCTGAATGTTTCATTAGTTTCGTTATATATTTGTTTCTCGTCTAAACAACGTTGCCTAAAACAATTTCCTATCAATCTATTCTCTATTAGAAAAGTCACTATCTTGTTTATTGTAGATCTCAGTCAGTCGCAAGGCCTTACGTAGCTCACTGCCACAATATAAGGCCTGACGACTCACTACGAGGCCTCATACCATCCTAGCACTGCAGCTTTGTTCAAAAACATATTGATTCTCTATTAGAAGAATCACTATCTTGTTTATTATAGTTCGCTGTGAGTCGCAAAGCCTTACGCAGCTCACTGAGACAATGTAAGGCCTGACGACTTACTACAAGGCCTCATGCCATCTTGGTACTGCAGATTTGTCTCTAAAATGTATATTGCTCCTCTCTAAGGAAAATCAGTCTATTGTTTATAGTAGATTGCGGTAAGTCGCGAAGCCTTATGCTTATCCGGAGAATTACTATGTTGTTTATGGTGGATCACAGTGAGTCGTAAGGCCGTACGCTAGTCACTGCGACAATAAAAGGTATGGCAACTCACTGCCAGGCCTTATGTTGTCTTGGTAAGGCAACTCTTTCTCGAAAAATATATAGTGCTCCTTCATAAGGAGAATAACTATCTTGTCACTGCGACAGTGACTTGCGTAAGGCCTTGGCGACTCATTGCAAAGCCTCATGTCGTCTTGGTACTGCAGCTATGTCTCAAAAAACATCTATTGCTCTACTATAAGGAGAATCACTAGCTTCTTCATTGAAGATCACGGTGGGTCGCAAAGTCTTATGCCTATCAGAAGAATCACTATGTTGTTTATGGTAGATCGCAAGGCCTGCGACAACAGAAGGAATGGTTACTCACCGCAAGGCCTTATGTTGTTTTGGTACGGCAGTATTGTCTAGACTGAAATATTGATCCTCTATAATAAGAATCACTATCTTGTTAATTGTAGATCGCATTGAGCCGCAAGGCCTTATGCGAGTCGGTGCGACTCACTGCAAGGCCTCATATCATCATGGTACTGCAGCTATGTCTCAAAAAACATATTTTGCTTCTCTATAAGGAGGATCACTAGCTCGTTTATTGTTGATCGCGGACACGCAAGGCCTTATGCCTATCAGGAGAATCACTCTGCTGTTCGTGGTAGATCGTAAGGCCTCAGACAACTCACTGCAACAACATAAGGCCTGGCTGCATGTCGTCTTAGTAATACAGTTTTGATTAAACTGACCTACAGATCCTTTAGAGAGAGAATTACTATCTTATTTATTGTAGATTTGCAGTGAGTCGCAAGGCCTTATATTTTCTCAGTACTGCAGCCTGTGAGATATTTTCTGCATTACTTTCCCTGAAATACCGAAAATACTGATGAAATTTATCAATTTTGTGAAGGGTAATCCCTTGGTATCACAGCGTTATTGTATATTCCTTCAGAGAGCTCAGGTATTTTGCAGATCAGAGCTCGAAAATTCGCAAAGCATTTGGTACATCACTATTTCCTTTTATCTCCATTATGACAGTTTATTTCAGTGATTTTTTCAAATGATCTATTCCCCATTTTCGACATTTCGAACCTTTGGAATGCTTGGTAATTATCAGATTCAAGATTTGAAAATCATCAGATTTCAATTCTTCTCCCTTGTTGAATCATATTTTCATTGTGGAAATTGTTAACCAGTTTACTACATGTCTATTTGACGAATTGGTGAAATTCGAATTTATTATTAATTTATACCTGAATTCTTGTAAAATTTTCAGTCATTAAGAAGGTAGAAGATCGAATGATGTAACTTATTGAAAGCATACGCAACTGAGGGAGTTATTATATAGCGAAACACGTGTTACTTGGTGACAATAGAGCGTTACTTGAATACTGAGTCTCTGAATTCTAATATCATAGAACTTGGAGCTAGAAAAAAGTACAACTTACGGTCGTTCTTCCGTATTTGTGAAAGTACCAAATGAAAAACACTTCGAGACTAATGTTAGTCAATCCACCACTTAACCGTGACACGAAATCGTTCAACTTTTTGGAATACCAGTAGGAAGCCCCACATACGGTCGCGCTCAATATTATTTTCCCCATACGCCCATCATGGCTGCCCATGTCAGGTTCATTCGTGTGGAAAAACGTACTGGAATTGCACCTGGCCGTAGTCTCGTTAACAGCAACTGGCTTATCGGCGAGGAGATCGAATTTATCGAAACCATCGTTAAAATACTTAATGTTGCCTTGAGTGTCACCGTTGATAGGCGTTTTTCAACCTCAACACAATGCACGTCGTCAGATTAATTGGCGAATTAAAATATTGTTTCTGTTCCAATCGATGGATAATTGGGGCTGATCTGAGTATATAATTGTCCAATTAATTTGATGTGATTAAGCAGTTATTGCTGGCGGTTTCAAATGTGATGTGATTTAACGTTATCAACAGATTAATTACAGGTTCTGAAAATCCCGCATTTTCCGCAGTATTCGTTAGCAATATCACGGAATTCCTCCACACCAGAGACGATCAGTGTTGCCACAAGCCATTTTTTCATCGAGGTAGATTTCTGGAAGAGAACGGGGTAGAACCGGGGTGGATCCGCATTCACATAATGACACCAATCACAGTGACGTATACCTATGATTGTCGTTCTTTGTTCTATGATAAATTCGACAATCGTTATCAAAAACATGTCAAATGTCATTGCATCCAAATTTGGGATCGATGTATTTTCAAACCATTCCTCAAAAATATAAGCTTCCATGTTCTTATGATAGTCAACATTGCATTCCTCAATGTTTTCCATATCCTTCACTTCCTCCGCAATGCCCAATAATTAGTCGCGATCCTTTGTTTGCAGGCTTGTTTGGCGTACACATTCTCGAACCATCAGTCCACCCTTTCGCAACTGTGTGTTTGTTAGTGATTTCAAATCTAAATCCTACTTTCTTTACCCAATTCTGAAGAGTTTTGTCACAGCAGCTCACGTTATGGCCGAAAGTATTCAATTCATTCCTCATGATTTCAATGTAGGAATCTCATTAATTTTGTGACAGTCGTATAATGTTTTCTCAATGATTTTATTGGATTAAGATCTGAAGGTTGTGGTAATCCTGTATCACATCTCGTCTTGCGTCCAAAAGTTTGTTTTTGACTATTTCACGCACAGTTGAGGAAGGAGTTTCGGTCAAATCTTATGTTGCTTGTAATAGTTTGTTTCCCTCGAAACCAAACTTGAGATGTAGATTCTTATATACATTGAAACATACACTTTGTGCTTCAATATTCAAATGCATCGGAATCTTATTCACTGGTATCTCTTTTACGCATTGTTCACCAGCGCTATTGGAATCACTACCCAGGAAAAGGTCTGCGTTATTATCACACTCATTATTACTATTAGTACTTGTCCAAAGACGCCACATTTTAAATAGATAACAAAAATTTTAAGTAAATATAACTGCACCAATATAAAATTTCAACACTCAAATCGCAATCAGTTCCTGAAATGAACACGACGGCGATAACCACAGGCCGCACTCTATTCGTCACTTCAAATTTAATTTTATGACTCTTCAGCCAATCACAAAACACGGTTAGTAAAAATTATCAATTACGAAACGTGTGTACAGTCCACACAGAAATGCTGCTGGTTCGTTTCTATGTGTTGGTTTTTATGACCTTTGAGGGAGCCGTCACCCTTAATAGTGTACAATATCGGTTACTTTGACTATACATATAACATCACTGACTGAGATTGCACATAACATAAACATTTCCACATTTACGTTCTCAACTTGAACTAAAAATGTAGAATGTCATGTCACAAACATCAAATAAACATCAAAAACGCAGTAGATTCAAAATCAAAACTAAAAATTTTTTCATTTTTAA